TCACTATATTTCATTGTGCATTAGGTAATTACGTGGCGTGGGGTTTAGCAGTCAATATAGTACTTTGCATAGATGAGACTATTACTCTTATGAATTCAGCCGTAAAATCTTGAATTTCGAAAGCACGGTTAATATTGTAGATAAGAAAATCTACAACTTTTAATCTGAGCTCTAAAATCTCAATTTTTTTTTTTATTGTACGATTTGATATTGTAGATAAAGAAATCCATGACTTTTAACCTGTGCGTAAAATCGGATTTCCTATAAGTAAAAGGAGAGATTCAATTGAGATAAATTCTCACTTCCCCTGCTATTCAACCGTTTGATTCCTATAAATATGCTACACGGTAGTGACAAATATTGTTAGCATTTTTTAATTTACTTTTTAAATCAATTTTATTGTAGTAACTTCTCATATGAGGTCCAAGTATACTACGAATGAAGACCTATGTTCCGATATGAAAATTTCTAAGGATCTAGAGGTGGACATAAATAAAAGTAGACATCAATTCTGGCTCTGGCTCTGTGTAATGAACGAGTATAATTCTACAAAACCTAATCTAATGTGGTAGGAACATCCACAAAGATCATTCAAATGTCTCATGAAAAATATCAATAATGTTATTGAACTTTTCAAATCTTGTGTGGAGCAAATTGAAAGTGCAATCATTGGCAGCGGCGGATACAGAAATTTTTATCAGTCAGGGCAACAAAAAATAAAAAAAGTACTCGAAATTTTTTAATTCGTGTTTATTACATACGAACTTTACCTTATGCAAGAAATTTTTCTATTCACGTTCTTTTTCTCTCATTTTTTAGAGTTGTTTTGGTTGTGCTTGTTTATCAAAGTTCTTGAAAAACAAGAAAAAAATCTATCTCAATTCAAAATCTAACTCGATTTTAACTCAATTTCACTAATCCTCAATATTATTAATATAATTAAATAATATTATTCAACTATTTTTACACATTACTTCAACTTTAATTCACCATTCATCCACTCACACTGTTTTAAGTACCTATAATTTCCAATCATATATCTCAAACTTTTACATCAAATCAATTCTAAGCATTTTATTTTAAATATTATTGTAATAAATTCTTAAATTCTTACTAACAACTAATCATATCAACTTTGTTCAAATAAATTCTAGTTAACACAAAAAAGAAACTAATTCTTTCTAGTTTTTTATAAACAAGCACGACCATACTTGCCCTGACCAAATCCATAACATTGACAATATGTTGATCATCTCTTTATAATTCTAGTGATAACTCATTCGTTAAGCCTAAAATTTTTCTCACTAGAAGAAGAAAAAATATGTAGTCACATGATTGTACATGCACAAGCAACAAATTACATTGTCCTATTTGATCAACAATAGCCTCATACATCATCGATTATCATTTCCATAAATTTAATTATAGAAGAGAAAATGTTCGACTTCATTTTATATAGACTATTACAGAAAAAAGTAGAATTATTTCACTCACAAGTTCTCCAACTTTGCCTTTTCTTTATAAATATTTATTTAAAAATCATAACTACATATGTTTAGCAGCAAAAATTCAGTCTGGGCAGTTGCCCACGCTGGACTAAGTGTCGGTCCGCCCCTGATCATTGGAGCTTTTGAACATCGTGTGGTGAGAAACTTTACACGCATTATTTATATATATTTATAAAAAAATTAATAGTTTATAATGCTATATATTTTTACATTGTAGATAGAACGTGCGAATGTACTTAATATGTGAAGCCCAAAAAATAAACGTAATCGACCATTCAAGTACGAGCATGTGTGGTTGATTATGAAAGATTTTGCATTACTCAAGTGTAAATCAACTATGCGAAACACATTTTCATCTCAACCCCAATCAGATGCACAACCCTAGTCTCCCTTTTCACTTAATTCAAAACTATCTAACTATTCCATTAATTTAAGCAATGAGAAAGCCAGGTACTAAAAACTCCAAATTTAAGAGAAAATGTGCGATTATGTTTCTGCAGTTATAAAAACAATGAAAGAAGAAAATAAAATAAAAATTAGAGACAAGAGTGAGATGATCAGACAAAAAAAAATAAAATCCAACAACAAAAAAATGAATTATGAAAACAATTTGTTGAGACCACAAACTGGATAGAGGAAAATAAAAATTAAACGATTGAGTTGGATTTCATACAAGATAATCGTCATCGTGAATATTTTAAAAATGAGCAAGAATGAAATTAAACGATTGAGTTGGATTCCATACAAGATAATCGACATCACAAGCTAATAACACTCTTTTTATTCTTTGAGTGAGTTTTTTCAAGATCTTGGAGGGTTTGAAAGTGGTTCAGGAGACTAACAGAATAAAATTTTTATTATTCATGTGTTTCGTAGATTTTTAAGTCATCTAAATTTGAATTATATTGTTTTTATTTTTTTATTTTGTGATTTATGTGTGTGGTAAGCTTTTGATTTTAATGAAATCTATTTGTTTTATTTTGTTAAATTTTTATTCATATGATACCAAATTAATATTAAAAAATACAAAATAAAATTATAATACGTCAATAAATGAAAGCACAAAGTTATATAGCATAAACATTATATTTACTTATACACTTTATACAAAAAATTATAAAAAAATATACATTAAAAAAAAAAAAAAATTTAGCGTCAGCTACAGTGTTGCGCCAAAAGTGGTTGATGCGAATGCAAGTAGGCTGCTAAAAAATGCCTTCAACAGCACGTATCGAGCGTGCAAGAGGTCATTGCGGGCCGATGTACGCATTAGTGAGCACGCAAAAGAGCAGGTCGATGGCAACGTGAGTGTGTGGGACGTCGAGGTCGAGGACGACGTGTCGAGCCGTGGAGTAAACGAGCGCGCTTAAACACGTGCACATAAGCTGACGAGGAGGACATGGCCCAGAGATGTCAGATCAATGAAATAGTGCGCGGGGGAAGGGGGCTCCGTGTACCTAGAAGGTTTCAGAAGCCTGGAGACTGATCCCTTCTAGAGGTTTCAATATTATTTCCCTTTATACTTTATTATATTTCCTTAGATTGTTTAGGCATTCAATAATTATAGTATTGGTAGGATTCTAGTTATTTAATTCCATAGTATGGGATTCTTAATACGGTAGGACTAGTAGTTATTTCCCTTTAAATATATCGTATTATTATTTTCCCTTTATAATCGATCTTTTATCACCAACTTCGCGTCTTAAGATCTCTTTAAGTTTTATTATACAATTGTGAAAAAGTAAGCCTAGGCGCATTGTTTGTGAAACCTATCGCCGATGAATGAAGGCCTATTGCGCGTCCATCCAAGGCAAAACCAGTTGTCGGGATCACGATCTCACCATTAGTACTTTTATTGAGAGTGGTGATTGCGAATCATTTTTCCTTATTTAATTTTTATTTTTCTGTTAGCATATATATATATATATATATATACATTATTTTATAATGACAAATCGAGAGAGATTCAATGCCATAGCCGAGAGGATTGGAAACCTGGATGATAGGATCAGTGGTTTAAGCAAGTGTCTCGTCTTAAATTGCGCATCGATGAAGGACAACACCATCACAATAAAGTGATGGCACAATTCTAGTAGATGTTCCATGCAATAAATCAGAAGCTAAATTGCCGCTGACCTCGGGAGATGGGTAGGTCTCGTTTGACCACCAGAGAGTCGACGTACTCAGAGGATGAGGAAGGTGAGACTGACCATCGGTCAGAGGGGTCGAACAACTGAGATAGACCATGGGAAAGTCGAGGTTGGTCATGTCAGTCTTTGACAGAACGGACCCCCGATGCATGACTGAGTAGTGCGTTACAATACTTTGACCTCGATGATACTCCTAGGGTGGATGGGTAAAATATGTCGCTTACAACCTTGATGGCGAGGCAAATGTGTGGTGGTAGTGGATCTCATACGTTTATCGCAAGCGAGACGAGACAGTTTGTTGGGTCGATTTTGAAAGAGAATTAATCACGAGGTTTGAATCATCGAATTATTACTACTATGGCGAGTCATTTTCTCGCGTAAGTCAGACTGGTAGCTTTCGTGATTATCAGAATGAGTTTGACCATTTGACGATTCGTGTATGAGACTTGCCAGAGGGCGCACTCGTCGAGGCGTTTGTGGGATGCACTAAAGTCCATATGGAGAAGCCCTGGACGATGCGGCATGCCAAGGAAGCCATGCGCATAAAGGACGATTACTTGACAGTTGTGCGAAGAGTAGCGTGTTGAGACCGCGTTTCCCCGAGCCGCGCCGAGTCGTCCCGATCGCATCCCCGTCAATCAGTGCTTGGGTAGGTTATCATCGGGTAATCTTAGACTATAGCCACAGGAGTTAAGAAACTTACATATGAAGAGACGAAACTCTGACGCAAGAAGGGACTCTGCTTCAATTGTGATAAGAAATTCACACTGGGTCACCAGTGCAAGTAGGCGCTCATGATCGAGCTGATCGAGCATGACAACGAGAAGCCAGAAGAGGACGAACTTGGTCATGAAACCAAGGTTCACGATGTTGGCCTAGAAATTTCAGTACAAGCCATGGTCGGCACCAAGGGGCCTAGAACAATGAGTTTGTCGACGTGGTTCCGAGACCGGTGCATCGTCATGCTGGTAGACAGTGCGTCATCGCACAACTTTGATGTTGGGAGTGTAATTCAAATCAGTCCTATAAAAGCACTTTTCTATAGTGTGGTTTATCATATGAAATATTTGACAAGCATTTTTCCAAGAGGAAGATCCACGAAGATCTTCTTCTTTCTCTTCCATTTGAGCATCTTCCTTTATTGCCTCTATTTCCAGAAGGCTGGACATGTCTTCTTCCTCTAAAGGCTTGGTTGAATGGAGCTCTCTGGTTCTAAATGACAGTGTTAACAGAGGGTAACGACCCTTCAACATCAAATGATATAACTTCAATGCTTTCAAGCTTACTTTCTAGGCTAAGGAGTAAGGTGTGTATTTCTCAGAAGGTATGGGCTTTATCCTTGAATTAACTGAAACCATAACTGAGTTGTAATCACTCCCAAGGCCCGATATAATGTAGGATATGTATTCTTCCTCAGTTATCTTTTGTCCAGCTGCACCAAGCATATCCCAAAAAGATTTAATCTTGTTAAGAAATTCTCTCATGTGTAGATCTCCCTTTTTCAGAGTTTGCAGTTGAAGCATGTACTGCATGATTCTTGCTCGAGATTGAGTAGCAAAGTTGCTTTCAAGGGTTCCCCATATCTCTTGTGATCTGTTGAGTCCCACAATAATGACTAAGATGGACTCATTTAGTGAGGATAAAATCCAAGAGAATAAGAGTTGATCTTGTTTCTTCCAAGTGGTATATTGAGTATTGATGACTTGTTGGCTAGCTGAATCTGTGATAAACTGATTTGGAGCTGGTTTTCTGCAATTGATGAATGAATCTAGTCCATAGCCATAAATGGTTGCCAACACTTGTTGCCTCTGAACAAGATATTTTCAGAAAGCTTAACAGTGATAAGATTTCCTTGGGATTGTATTGTACATGGAGGCTTCATATTTCTAGGTGTGATGGTATTGTCCATGGAAAGAAAATGAAAAGGATTTTAGATATAAACCTCAAGTATTATCTCGCAACTCTGATGCAATGAAGAAATAACATTAAATCCAAGAATGATTTGATGGTTAATTTTCATCAAGAAAAACTCAGATCTGAATTAATTATTGAATGAGTGAAAATGCAGTACAAATGGCAACTGTCATGTTCTCCTAATTATAAGAGATTCTAACAAATCAAAATGACCTAGAGTTACAATAAGACTATGCATAATTTGGAATCACAGTCATAACGTAAAGAGTAAATTATCTGTTGAAGTATTTATATCGGGAACCAGACCTAATAGTCCCACGATAAACATCCATGTCAAGAGATTCAAGATCTCATCAATAACCTGGTTTTTTAATACATTGTGTATTAGAACCGTGGGAAGAGAGTGTGGTCCCACAAGATGAAGCGCACCATAAGAGGGTGAGCCTAGGTGCACCTTAGTGATGTTTCCATCCCAAAACCTATTGGTGATGGGAGGAGTAGCCCACTAAGCTTATATAATAGGGGCATTTTCCCTATAGAATCAATGTGGGACAACTCACAAATGATATTCCAACACGCCCCCTCAGTTGTGAGTCTTTCGTAAGTCCAAGCCCACAGAGCAACTCGGGTAGAGAGATAAGCCCAAATCCATAGAAGGCGGGGTAGAAAGAGCCATTGCAGGTCCTAGAACAGACCTGCTCTGATACCTTATTAGAACCAGGGGAAGAGAGTGCGGTCCCACCAGATGAAGCGCACCATAAGAGGGTGAGCCTAGGTGCACCTTAGTGAGGTTCCATTGCAAAATCAATTGGTGATGAGAGGAGTAGTCCTCTAGACTTATATATTAAACTCATTTTTCCTATAGAATCAATGTGGGACAACTCACAAGTGATATTCCAACACTCTGAAACCACTCAATAATCTCTATTGTTGACAGCCAATGACCTCTAAGATAAGTGAATCATGAGTTTTAATTTCAGCATTAGATTAATGGAGTAACTCGGTAGGTCAATTAGCAATTGGCTTCTAAAGGTAATCTATATTAGATGGCTACTAGGTTTCCTCCGATATTGGAAGGCCTTTTAATATTAGACCATACCATATCTCCAGATTAAACAGATGCTAATGGAGAAGTAACATTTTGTTTTATTTGGCATTTATTTTACCATATGAATATCATCAAATATAATAAAGCAAATGAAATTGTATACATGCAAAGCAGCCTTTTCTTTTCCTTGACGTCTGAGTTTATCCAAAACTGCCTTTCCTACCTAAGCAAAAAAGGTTTGTTTTACTCGTATTTTGCATCACCTCTTGGAGCCCAAAGTTCATATGATTGTAAAGCTTTTTTGCATGTGGTTTGATCAAGTCCAAAATAAGAATATGTAAGGTTTGACATAAAAGAGAGCTAATTTGTTGATTTTAACAACCGTATATGTACAAGATAAAGGGAGATGTTACGGTATTGTAACCGAACCATCCTGTCGGAGTTTTTAACCGTTAAATCAACTATCTCCGACGGTTACATGATGATCTAGCGATTACAAATTCCGACGGAATGATTCTGTAGCGGGACCGTAGCATTTCCCCAAAATAAATGAACCGTGACCACGGTTTTCAAAATAGGAACAGACCATTTTGCTGGAGCGGGATGCCAACAAACCGACCAAAAATCGATTGATCGGACCAGCCATTTTTTTTTTTTATATTCTAAAAAATACATTTGATATAAACAAGAAAATATATATTTTAAATATAATGAACATGTTTATATTATTTATTATTTAATTTAAGTATTGTAAATTTAAAATTGTCTAAATATTATTTTGTATCACAAAATATTATATTCATTACATAAAAAACTCAATAAATTAAACATCAATCCAACAAGTTCAAGTATTGATCCGACGAGTAAATCATTCAACACCGTAACGAACCGATTACATATCAAATCACTTTTAAAATCAATAACTAAGTAACATATATTTTTTTCTTTGTTATCCTTTATTCAAATAATTATTTCAAATAGCTTTATTCTTAATCTAAATTTGAGCACGACATAATATATTGTGCAGGACCAACATTTTCCTCGAAACATTTGATGAATTTTAAATGATCGGTCAAATGGTGCATTATAGTGTATGCGTTTATATAAAAAAAACAAGCTTTACTCATATTAAATTCCAAATATGACAAAGATATTATTATTGTCAAAGTCGTCTTTCTAAAAAGCAGTCGTTGATTTTGCCAAACTCACCCCCACAAACTTTTGTAATTGCTACTTTAGCCCCTCTGCCACCATATCATCTTTCTCTTTCCCCAAGTTATTTAAAACACACACACACACACTGCAGAAAGAAATAAAGCAAACCTTCCCCAAATCTGCATATTCACTACATACTGGCTCTACCAACCATGGACGCCTTCAGCCTGCTCAAGTACTGGCGTTCTAGCGCCGGCGGCATCACCACTACCATCTCCGCCGCAGACTCCACCGCCGACGCGCGCGCCACCGCCGAAATCGTCTCCGCCCGTATCTCCGCCGCCAGCCCTTACTCAACCGACGGCGAGGACGGGCCCTTCTTCGACCTGGAATTCTCCCTACCCGACCAGGAGAGCGACGCCGACGAACCACCGCCGGTTAAATCGCACCAAAATGACCAAAAACCCTCAGAAACAGAAAATGAGGACGAAACGGGAAGTGAGTCCGACGCCGAAGAAATCTCAGTGTATGAAAACGAAGACATTGACGATGAAGAAGAAGAAGATGATGAAGATGGAGGAGGAGAACTTAAATTTGCTCTCGCGAGCAATGATTGCGCGGATCAGGCCGCGGCGGCGCTTTCCCCTTCGGATGAGCTGTTTTTCAAGGGGAATTTGGTTTCAGTTGAGCCTTCGAGCATTTTATTGAGCGGGTCCTCTGAAGAAAACTCAAAATTACCCATATTTTTAGTGAAATCAGCTACGAAATTCAGGGTGCTCTTGCTCAAGCTGAAGAAATCCAAATCCGGCAATGGTGAGAATCTCACAAGGCATGAAAGAGCTGAAAAAATTATGGGTAATGGTAAAAGGGAGAATCAGGGGAAAGTGAGCGGCAAGTTAATGGCGGTGAAATTGAAAGTTGAGGAGGGGCCTCTCATGTCCCTGTTCACCAGAGACAACAGCGCGAAAGAAAACGGCCATGGCCGTGGTCTGGCTGAAGGTAACAACGTCGACGAGAGAAAGCTGACCAAAGAGGTGGTGCTGCAGAAGTACTTGAAGATGGTGAAACTTCGCGTTTCCAAGCGTTACGTTGAGAAATTGAAGTTCACCGGCGGTCAGTCGGTGGGAAGCGGAGGCTCCAAAATTTCTGCTCCGGCGGCGCGTGGCGACGCGAAGCCTCAGGAGAAGCACGGGAGCGGCGGTAATAACCTGCAGGCGGGGCTCAAGGTGGTGCGGAAGCACCTGGGGAAGAGCCGATCGGCGTCCGCCTCGGTGGCAGCGTCGCCACCGAGGAAGGCGGCGTCGAACCGCCGGGACGACTCGCTGGTGCAGCTGCACGACGGGATCCAAGGCGCCATTTTGCACTGCAAGAGATCGTTCAACGCCTCCAGGGGTAATTAAATTTTTGTTTCAACTATTATATATTATTATTCTAATTATTATCAGAAAAATTAATAATCTGCTTTCTTTTTTAATTAACTTTGAATAATATTCTCGTAGATATTGAACCATCTTCAATTCTATGTCGCTCCGTGAGTGAGCCGAGCCATCCGTGAAAAAATCCGTGAGTTCATCAGTACCCTCGACGTCGTCGTTTCGTAGGAGAAACCAAGGAGAGACTTGGGTCAAGATGGATTGACATATAATTATTGTAAGTATAATATAGTATGTGTGTTTTTACTTGTTTTTTCATAAAGTGAGACTAGTGAGTGTAGAAGAAAAATACTAGCACTTATTATTATTATTATTATGTTTATGGTCTTCTTCTCATTTTCTTTGCTTGGGTATCAGTGCTTCCTCCATTATAGCTAATGACTGAAGAATGAGTGATGAATTATTGCTATTTATTTTGGGTTATCTGCTATAACAGCAGGTCGTGTTTCTGCATTACAATATTTACTGCTTTTGAACTTCATTCCATTTTTTCTCAAAGCAAAAAGAATGTCCCCTTCTAATCTTCTTCTAGTATTGATGTAATTTACATTTATTTGCCATAGTTTCCATGAACTCATTATTTAAGTTGATAGCTTACCTTGCCTGAACAGTATAATATTCGAAATAAAAGTTTGGGGGGATGACTACAGTCCCGTTACATTACAGAATCATTCCGAGTCAGTGTTTTTAGTCCCGTTACAGAATCATTCCGAGTCAGTGTTTTTAATTGTAGATTGTCTACCCTAGGATTCACAACTAACCAAAACCCACGGAAGGGGATAAAACGCTTTTTAAAAGGAGACTATAACTCAAGAACAACTCGGACTACACATTAATTAAAATACTAAAAACAACAACGCATACTTGCAACAAATTAGAATACAATCTCCCCTACTATATGCACAAGTCTTTTGCTATTGCTCTAAACTATTACACACAGGCTAGTCTCGGCAACAAAAAAACGAAAGGAAGACAACAAATCTTGAGCACCCAAATCTAAGAACTTCGAACGAACTGGACTTAAACGGCTAAACAAATCTGATGAAAAGACGAAACTCAAGTCCAAATCTGACTCCAAAAAAACCTTCTAGCCTAGAAAGAGACCGAACGCCGAGAAGCCATCCCGTTGGCCTCAACCGAGGAGCCGCCTTTAGTGTCTGCTTTAGCCCAAGGCCAGAAAGAGTGGATCGACACAAAGAGCCCACCGAACCACCCACAACTAGAAAGTCGGGCCGGGCAAAGAGAAGGGAACCACCCATCACCGGCCCATCCCCAGGCGGCATGGAGAGAGGGGGCTGCCGGATGCTTCTAAGGAGGGTTCTCTCCAGTTGTTACATTCCCAACTAGCTTAACTGAAATCAAACAAATAATTTACATTTGAATAAGAAATTAAACCAATAATTTACGTCTGAATAAGACAAAATCAAGGTTTCGTAGTCAGGCTGATGATAATAATGTTCGAACTTCTAAGCCCTTTTGAACAAAATCTTTGAAGAATAAGAAAGAGAGATAAAATATATAAAACCGAGGGCGGTGAAAATGAAATGTGGTTTTTTTTCTATATTTTCTGGCAGCAGGCAGGCGGGGTGGGCGGGCAAAAGTTGAGACAAAAACCTCCTAAAACAGTAGTAAAGTTTGTAGCTTTACCTCTTTCTTGTCTCAGTGTAAATATTTTTGTGAAAAGAAAAAAGATTGTAGACAATAAAGCATTATTACTGGGCAGATTGGATAGAGATTACAATGAAATATTTTTTTTTTTTTTTTGTTTTCGGTACAAGAGAAGGAGGCAAAAGCCTAACTACGACAAAAGAGATCGTGATAGCTGGAGGGGTTATGCGCTCTATACTTTTGTACCTTGGCGATCGATGTGCCTTTTGAAACTCCCATTTGAATTATTATTTACGTGCAGACAATCACACTTTTTCAGTATAGGTAGAGCAGCAAAATTTCAATGCCAATCGCCCCTACTATATACTAATGAGAGCATTTGATGGAAAAAAATTGACTTAAGAGCATGCTTGAGATAGATGATTTCTTAAAGGGATAATTGCATGTAACACCCAACTTTTTGTTTAATTGTAAGAAAAACTCAGTTTTTTCAACTTTGCACTATATATAAAATCTTTATTATGTATTGCAAGTTTGTCTCAAAAATCAGTATTCGACAAATCCTTGCTAACATGTCCGATCGGAATTTTGACATGACACCCATTAAGCTTGCGTGACACTCAATATTTTAAAGTCGATGTCACACCATCTTACACGTAAGAATCTACATCACATTCCTTTAACCCTTTCATTCAATTTTCCCCCATTTTTGCAGCGAGAATCTTTTGAAAAAATAATAATAGTAATAAATAAAAAAATAAAACAAAATCAGTGACGCCTTCTTGATTTTTTTTGGCAGCAATTCACTTTCAAATATTGCAGCGCCTTCATGGCTTGAGTCTTCACCCCAAAAATTGAGTTCACCATATGCTTGAGGAATTCATTTCGATCCGCAATCCTTAAAACCAAGAATCCCAGAACTCTAAAACCAAGAATCCATTTGTAGATTTTCTAATTTCTATACTTCACATAACACTAAAATCACCCTACCCAATTTTTCAAAATTTGGGGATAGACATCGTAAATGTGTTTGTAATGTTTGGGGTGAACTCAATTTTTGAGGGAGAAGAAATCACGCCATTTTTCAATTGAGGTAAATCGCTGCAATTTTTCGAGAAGAAGGTGAACACGATTTTTGTTGGCTCGATTTTGGGCATATGATGTGGAATATGATGTGGGATATGGGTTTAAAATGTTGAGTGTCACGCAACCTTAATTGGTGCCACGTCAAAATTCCGGTCGGACATGTCAGCAAGGCTTGGCCGGAAATTGTTTTTTAGACAAACTTGCAATACACAATAAATGTTTGGCATTTAGTTGCAAAGTTGAAAAAGTTGAGTTTTTTGGCGATTAGACAAAAGGTTGGATTTTATAGGCAATTAACCTTTTCTTAAGAAAATTCTATCATTTTTAACTAGTCATTTCTTTTAAACTCAAATTTAACTCAACTTTAACATAATTGTCATATCCTTTGTTTCAAACTGAGTAATGAATTACACGAGAAATATATGAGCTGAAGTTTTCAGTTTTTACAATATATATGAACCAAATAACTGAAAATAAAGTACAACATGAAAACGAAAAGATTAAGTCGAGAAGAGTAAACTCTTTCTACAAGACAAATATGCCATGTATAGTGCTAACGAGCTAAACATTATTTCGATGCCTATAATAAGCACAACTCAAACTTTTACAATAACCTTAGTTATGTACAAATAAACAAATTACACACAAAACAAGTAGTATTACTTATTAATCTACATATCATCCATACATAATAAAGTTCCACATATACTTTACAAACAAAACCAATCCAATAAAAATCAAATCTCCATTCTGTCACAAAATAAACAAAGAAATAAATAAATAAACTCCTTCACTAACATAACAAATGTTGGATCCCCTGCCTCGTCACGTTCAAACCAAAGGTACAATCCACTACAGCACTCCTCCGTCGCCTCATACTCCCCATCACCCGCACCTCACCCCTCACCTCCCAAATAGCCCTCACACCAATAATACCAAAAACATCACTATTGCTTAAATTATTCACAATATTATAATAACCAACGCTCACGGTCACGTTCATATCTCTTCTCCCTCTACCGCCAACCGAGCCCCACCCGATGCTCCCGGACCCGATTGTCGTGTTTTCATGCACCAAAGTTACGTGCCCGTCCCCGAACCTAAACCGCCCGAAGTTGGGGTTGAGCAGGTGGGCCCCGACGACAACGGTGGCGTTCACGAACGAGTTGTTGCCGTGGCTGAGTCCGGTGACGGCGGCCGTCGAGAGGCGGAGGGTGGGGCTCCGGACGCGGAGGAAGATGAGCCCGAGTATGAGGAAAGCTACGCTGTGGAGGACGACCGCGAAGAGCACGTAGACCAAGCGCTTGCTGCTGCGTGATTGGTTGATAGGGTGATACGTGGCGAGTTCCTGTTCGCTCATCGAGTGGCTCTTTGTGATTGGTGGGTTGATTGGGGTTTCATCTGTTATTTCCATCTTATTTAGTTGTAGTAGAGTTTGGGGGAGGATGAAAGAGGCTGAGAGAAGAATTTAGAGTGTGGAACAAATTGAGTAAAATTAAGGTTTTATAGTTATTGATGTCATGTGATATGTAAAAACCCATATCGAATTCAAAGCTTGAATTTAATGCTTTTTACTTATGGGATATTCTACGGTCCCGTTATAGAAGCATTCCGTCGAAGTTTGTAACCGTTAGATCAACTATCCACGACGTTTGCATGATAATCTAACGGTTACATATCTCACGGAACTGTAGCATTTCCCTTTATTTATTACAAGTAAATAATAGTACTTCCCTTATTAATATTATTATTTTTTATTTGGCTAAAACGAGTTACAAATATATATTTATATTTCATAAGCAATTTATTTATTTTTTTCTCTTTCAGTGTAACATCATCAATAATGTGAGATGGACAGCACAGGTGGTGTGATGTTAATTTTTTTAATGTGTAAGTTAGGCGTATAATATGAAAATTGTTAATTTTCGTGTCTGGATGAATTAAGTATACGCGTCTTCGTTTGCGATAATATGAAGAAACTGCGATAGATGTAAACAAGGATCGGTCGCGGCGTGTAAAGACTTCTACAAGCATTTTGTGAAGAGAGTTTGTTATCTTGGAAAAGACTACAGTCTCGTCACGGAATGATTTTACATACAACTCTAAAGGTTAAAATCCTTCACGGAACCATTTCGTGACGGAACTGTAGTCTTTTCCTATCTTTAATTAGAATAGAATTTAACGATGCATAAAAGTACTTAATTAAAATTTCTTATCTACAATGTTTTGACTCTAATTGTGTTCATGTGACATATAAATAAACTTAAGTATTGGATAACATAGACAAAAAAATATAAAAATAACAAATTGAACTCCTATGCAAAGAAATGAGGTCTCTATTTGAGTTTAAAATAGACTTAAGCCTAGATCGAGTCTCATGTTCTTGCTGCCACATAAGGAGTACCCGGTCCATTTACACTTACATTGGAGTATATATTTTTCTAGACCGGGTTTATATCTTATGTGACATGCATATTTTTTTTTGAATGAATGCTCAAATTTAAGGTACAAGGCAGGGAAGCTGATTGAGCATGGCAATTAGCTAATGATATTGGATATATATTCGACATTTATTGTAATCCATTGGTTTCAATACCGTTTAAAAATGGGTTTCTCACATTCATATTTATGATTTCGTCTTTACCTGTAAATGTAGCAATCAATTAAGAAGATGAGTGGCCCGAACATTCAATTCAATGTTTTCTTTGATTTGAAAAAGACGAATTTATTGGTATAATAATAACTGACGAGAAGAATTCAGGAACCATATATAAAGGGGAATCTAGTCCCTATTTATTACATTCTCAAGGTAAATTTTATTCATGTTTTTACACTATGAATAGTGTGTTCTTTATTCAAATGGTAACATACATAAAGCTGCAATGTTCTTGTTTATTGAACAGAGTTAATTGCAGGTAAATTACTTAACTTGTCTAGTGAAGGTGGCTGCTATAACACTCCTAACACTGTGCTTTTCTGAATCCCAGATCAAGAAGCCATGCACAACAGATCCATTTTTTCCCCAACTAGTCGTGTTCTTGCTAAGCTGAAACGTCACTTGGTACGTCGCCTTCTGCTTCGGGCTCGTGAAACACATCTTCGATGGCCTAACTCTAACAGCCACACCCTGGGGCTGAACTATGCTCGCGGAGTAACACGCGGAGGCCTCGCCCACGTTGGTGACAGTCCGGTAGAAGAAAGTCTTCTTAAAGTCGGGCGAAACCGAAAACGTGGGGTAGTTCAGTTGCCCCTGAGGGATTGTCAACGAGCAATTGGCTGGCACCTGTGTGATCATCATGACCTGGCTCTCCGTGTATCCCAAGCCACACAAAAACGGGACGTAATCATCCATTGCAATGTCGTAGACCAGACCGGGATCCACTGCCTTGTTCGGGTTCACTTGGCCGGCCCCCATCGCTAAGATATTGGCTGGAGTAAGTTTCTCGTCGAGAATCGGTATGCCGTTGGCATTGATGAGGTCCGCGGTGGTCATAATAGCAGATTTCACGGCCGCTGCCGACCAATCGAGGTGTGCGCTCTTGACCAGGGCCGCGACCCCGCTGAGGTGGGAGCACGATATTGACG